TTCGCTAAATAGTCGTCCAAATGACCTGAAACTTCACACAAAGAACAAGGATAATAAAAGAGACAACGGTCAAAATTCAAAAATGGTTTCATTCACCTTTGAGTGAGTTTAGCCGTGAAGACCGTGAAGACCGTGAAGACTGGGCTCGAGATTGAGATTGAGCATGTCAGCGGTACGCATTGACTTCCGCTGGATGCCAGAAGTGCGGGCTCTAAGATTGTACGTTTTCGGCGCTAGGGGTACGAGTTAACATAACATCTAGCATGGCGCGAAATTCATTCTGTTGTATAGTGGCTATGGATGCTAAGCGGGGAATCGGAAAGGATGGTAAACTAGCATGGAAATTGAAGTAAGTTCATTTTTGTTTTTATATTTATTGTTACTATGGGTTTTTCTTAGTTGAAGGTTTTAGAGAAGAAATAACTTAAGTTAATAATAAGATTGAACTTTAACAATATTGCAAAATAACGCTTATGGTACTTTGCGAATCGAAACGAAACCTGTAGTTTGCGAAACTGTAGTTTGTATTAAAAACTGTAGTTTGCGAAACTGTAGTTTGCGAAACTGTAGTTTTTTGCTAAATGTATTGTAAATTAAGCTTATTAAAGACTTCTACTCACTTTGATAAGCCCTCACATTTACCTTTTTATCCTATTAGTTATTTCTTGATTGCCAAAGTAGTATTTATAAGTCATTTGATGAAGTTGTTGTTCGTTGAAGTTGGCCGGCTAATCACTCGAGTTGCCGCCATTTTGTTGRCACAGGACGCCCGCGGACGATGAAAACAAAACACAGGAAGACCGTTAAGCGTTCACATGTCGTCTAAATGAACCGCAACCGCCATATGCTACCCAACTATTGTTTGAGAGAAAGAAAAGAACGRATGTGCACGTTTTACGCTGGTGTTATCGGCGCACRCTCTTAGCTATATGCGGGTTACCTGTGGTATTACGTAAGTGATCCCTTCCCTGGCGGGATCAAAAACTAGTCTGTGCCAAGGTATGAAACACTGGTCACGTGATGGATCGATGTGTGCACCAGGTATCGTGTCTACCCCTCCCTCCCTTTTTTCATTTGTGAAGACTTCRCGACCCATTGTAAACAATCCTAAATAATCGTGAGTTTCGCGAGGCAAAAAAAAWGTCAAGGATAAAGCTTTAAAATTCAAWTTTCTTTARAAAAAGGAAAGGAAACATACAGGCAAGAAGCAAAATTAACAAAAAACAAAACAATATGAAAAGTTTTCAAGGTTTTCTAGTTTCAAACGACTATATTTTTAGCTATATTTAATTGACTTTCCATTTTGATAGTAAAACAATGAAAAGCTTTATAACAAAAACAAAGCTTTATTATCTCTAAGTRCAAGAAATAGACATATTTTGAACAAGTTTATTATTCATAGATCTTAATTATCTTGGCTTGAAACTAGTAACACCTAAAGTTGTGCTTTGAAATCGCATYGCAAAAAAATGGTTAGGTTGAGTTGAAACGACTCAATTCAACCGAACGAAGCATTTTTGGGTTTTCAAACATCAAAAATCTCTACATAACAAATTCATTATCTAAATAATCCGAAATAATCGATTTTTTCCGCATATACATGTATGATCTGAACTTCATAAAGCGGTGAAGCATAAGGTTTCATGAAATGTAATGGAAAGTTCTCAAAACTGACAGTGGTTTGCAAGAAAAAAGCTGATAGATTTCATAGAAACTAAAGTGCTTGACATACCTCTCAAAGTATCAGAAAAAGATCTCTAGTTTCAACTAGTCCCTCATTCAAGAAAGCTTGCTTTAACTGCATATGGGCATAAATTTAAGTCTTATAACTCAAGTAAAAATCCACGTAAGTTTGAACTTTTCTAMTCCATTTTTCGAGTTTTTGAGATGAGCAAGAGTCTTCAATAAGATCTTTGCCTTTAAAATAATTGTTCCTCACAATGTAATGTCTCATCTTTTGCATAAAGTCTCAAAGTTTCAGGATATTGGCATAAAGCTTCCCATCAAAAACTGAAAATCAGCGTAAGACCAACCAAGTAATTCAGGACACGAATTGAACACGAGCAATTGCACGGTAGCGGATGACCCTCGGAAAAATCTCGACTGTTTATGAAAGGCCTCGAAGTCTACCCGAATGAAAAAAGATAGGGATGGATGGACACGATACCTGGTGCACACATTGATCCACAACGAGTAAAATGCTAAATTTTCATTTTCTCATCATGCAATAAACATTTCACATTGAAAATTGTGAGGCAATATATTGTTATTTGAAAGAAAATTGTCATTTCCGGTTGTTTTTCGGCGAAATAGGAGCAAAATTATATTTGTCACGTGACCAGTGTTTCATACCTTGCCACAGACTAGTTGTTGATCCCGCGAGGCAAGGGATCACTGACGTAATACCACAGGTAGCCCGCATTTTGAGCGCGCGCAGATAACAGAGTACTAGCGTAAATTAAAAGCGTGCGCATTCGTTCTTTTCCTTCTCTCAAGCAAGAGTTGGGCGGCCTATACCACCACACATGTTGCYGAGCAGTGAGAGAGCTGGCCTGTCACCTCTGTGGACCCTGTTCAAATCTCGGTCGGGGCACCATATGTGATATGAGTTTCTTTTGTTCTCTCCTTTGCGTCAAGGCTTTTTCCTGGTCTTTTCAGGTTTTCCTCCCTCAGTAAAAACAAACCATTTCTATCTGCTGTGCTCTGTGTTCGTTCTGTTGTGAAASTATATGTAGTAAAATGTGTCTGTAATATTGCACTTTGACTTGAGAGCTCATCGAGCTGCAACTTTCACAATTCAGCATTCAGCATTTTGGGTGCTGCCATGAAGGACGATTATCACCCAACACCTACCCATCTTTCTCCCCCACCTGGTTGGATATCGAATTTTATTGGTATAGGAGTAAATAGGAGAGTCCAATCTATGACAAATCACACTTCGGTTCATAAACATATCAACTATCGTATCAGCACTGAATTCAGACTGAATATTGAAACAACATACATTGGTTACCTTGATATACAAAAGATAAACCAGATAAAGGTTGGAGAATCCTTAATTTGATAAAAAATAAATGATAAAATCAAAGCTTTTTGCAATTGAAATAGTTATTTCACTCCACATGACATCGGAAAACCACCAATTTCTTTTATTTATTTATTTACTTATTTATTTATATAACAACAATTTTGACAAAACTCTGTCCTTAAAAAACTTACTCAAAACAAGTTACATGTAAGATATTGCCGTGATAGGGTTCACGAGACAAAAAATGCGCCTCAAAAGAGCTTTACCCGACTTCCTGTGTTTTGTTTTCTTTCTCTGCGGGCGTCCTGTGTCAACAAAATGGCGGCCAAGAAGAATATGAATGATCGAGAACAACAACTTATTTCATCAAATAGCTTGTGAAAAACTACTTCTGCAAGCAAGAAATAACTCTAGGATATAAAGGTAAATGTGAGGGCTTATCAAAGTGAGTAGAAGTCTTTAATAAGCTTAATTCAAAGTACATTTTGCAAACTACAGTTTCGCAAAGTACAGATCSCAAACTACAGTTTCGTTTCGCAAAGTACCATAAGCCCAAAATATAAGTTACATATTAAGTTAACCAGTTGTGGATCTTTCTTGAGACTTTATGGAGTTTCATGTCAAGGGCTTCACAAGAAAGAAATGAAAAAGCAAGGTCCCCACAGATATCTAGATGGCATCATTTGACCGAAATTTATATCAGCTTAATACCATGGATTTACATGTAATATATTATATTCATTTTGAAATCACAAGCGAATCCTGCAATCTGATTGGCTCTTAGCAGGTCGATTTCAGCCTAAATTGCACCATTTTAAACTCTTAATCACACTCATTTGAGAAGCAAATAATGTATTTGTACGAATTAATCAAATGCTGAACAATGTGTTAGATTTCAAAATATAACTTAAATAATATATATAACTTAATTAAGTGGTAATTGAACTTTGTTTCGTGCAATTTTGATTGAAATCAAACTTGTGATTACAAATCGCACTCCCACTACGCGGCCATGTTATTTTGAATCACTCCTTTGATTTTGAACGAAATTGCACTCCACTCAGTGCAATTACCATTATAAATRTCCCTGAAGCCGAGGAGATTTAGTGGTGGCACCTATCAATGTCTTGGCCCAACAGGGGGAGCCTGGGCATACCCAGGGGCTATTGACATTTTTGGAAAACAAATGTTAATGAGCTCCTCTTAAATTCTACATCAAATGACAATAGGCCCTTCATATGATAACGATTTGAAGGGGTGGATGCGAGAACGGCTTAAGTTCGATACAGGGTATTTTTGAAATTTTCGAAAAAAATCACTTCAATCACTTATTTTCAGTCTAAATAATCATGTTTGCTAGTTATTTCTTGTGATTTCCTTTAATTCTCGCCTACAGTGAAAATAAGCATTATTTCATTGTCAGTTTTTTTTCTACAAAATTCTAGATTTCAACAAGCGAATGACTGTTTGTACTGTACTCAATTTTAGTCCTACTTCTGTCATTTAAGCGTTTTATTTTTCATATTAATTCCATTAATCTAATGCTACAGCTTTCTCTTTGGACACTGATTCAGAACACATGTTTTATCAGGATTATTGCCGCCATGAATTCTGGGAGAATTCTACACACGCCGTGAGCAACGATTCCCTCCAATCTGAAATAGAAATTTGTRTGTTAAAGTCTATAGCCTTCTCGGAAATCTGCCAAAATCTGCCAAAAGTCGCTTTTGTTCCTCAATAGCCAAAACTAATTAAAAAAAAAATTACTGTGGCAGCTCCAAGGATTTGCATTTAGACTGTCTTTTAAGTGATTCTCTTTAAAGTAACAATGTGCGCAAAAAGCAGGCAACTTTCTATTGTTCTGCCGCGGCAATTGCAACTTCCCCACATACTGTACTAATGTCTTGGTTTTCACACTGATTATATATCAACCTATGGGTAACACATTTTTAAAATAAAACGTGAATAAACTCTGTTTTGAAACAAAGTTTCTTTTGCATTAACAGATCTTGTCCAATCATAAGCACTCAAAACAATAGCTAAAAAATGCTTCTAATTTGCTATGTTCCCCACATAGAATTGCTAAGGAAAGCTTTTATGAAGTCGGAATCAGATATTGAATAAAATATTAAAAAATGGGCTTACTTTTGAAATTATATCAAATTTTAATGTTTTAACCAATGAGATGGATGGATTATACAATATACAAAATTAGCACCTTTATGCATTCCATTGCTGTTTGCTTGCCTGCTTCTTACTCGGCCCATTACTTAAGCAAAGGTCCAAGTTAATCRTATCAACCGTTGAAACAAAATCGCTTAAAAAGTCACACACCAAGCTGGGGCTAGGTTCGTATGTCAGTAGCCCGTGTGCGCCCGGGTTCCCCCTGTTGGGGCAAGACATTGATAGGTGCATAAATCTCTGAGGCTGAGGGGACATTTAGGGTGCTTTCCATTTAGGCAGAACTGGCCGGCCAGTCCACTCTATTTATTTATATTTTTTTGTCAACATTTTGCAGTCATTTCGAGGTTTTTGTAGAATAATGGATAGAATTTGAAAATTTGAATTTCCTAACTAAATAGGAATGATATATATCATGACATTTTCTCTGGGTCTGGCCAGCCAGTTCTGACAAATGGAAAGCATACTAAATCCTATAATATCCAKAGGGAATAAACCAAAAGCATATTGACAATTTGGTTCTAAACCGTAATAAATTACGTTTTTTTAACAATGTTCTGAACTTGACAGATAATTACTCTTGGGAAATCACATGAATTTGTTTTTCAAACAAAACACAAAATATTTTGGTATTTTATATATCATAATACCATGATCAACTCKGTATCCATTGTCTTTGGAGGGACATTTACATCCTAACATCCCTCCCTCATGAATAACATKAGGGCAGTTTAGGTAGTAGATTGTCAAGTTCAGGTCATTGTTAAAAACATAATTTATTCTGGTTAGAAGCAAGTTGTTTATATGYTTCTGGTTATTTCCTCTGAAATCATCTAGTATTACAAAGTAATACCATGGCATCTTCGGGATATTAGGTATTAAATGTCCMCTCAGCATCAGAGATTTAGTAAAATTATTTAATATATTTAGTTAGAATAAGTTTTCTAATATTAGGCAGGTTTCTTAAAACTTTGGCGAAAAAAGGATTTTTTACAAATTTTTAAACATGCAAGAAAAGGTACTTCGAGCTCCCTGTGGTGGACAAGCAATTCTACCATATCATGTGACTTGTGACGTCAACCCATTATCGGATACTGCAACAAAGTAGTAGAGTTTTTTAGATTTTTGAGTTATAAATGCCGAATCGGTTTGTTGTTTACAGTTGTAACACTGATGTAATCAAACAATAGTTTTCAAATACGTTACTTGTCTTCTATTGTGTAATTAATTCGACATTCGTTTGTTAGTACTATTCCATAAACTTGTTTTGCAGTCCCTGTATAATATTTATATCACCGTATTAAAATTCGTATACAACGCTCAAACAACATTGGATGAGAGATGCTAGTTCCAGATGGTGTAGGACACTTCTGTTCAGTATAATATCTTATAAGGGGTATCTAGTTTACTATATTTGCATTGTGCACTGCATTASGGATTGAAATATAGAAGGCAAAGGATTCTTTTGTCTTCTACTAAATTTCCCTCTATTTAATTTATGCAAGGGAAATTTATTTTGTCTTTTTGCATATGTAATAGGACAGTTTTTACCTACATTTAACTGCGCATGCCTTTGCTCTTAGTTAAAAAAATGAAAATGCCTATGACAGATGTATGCACAGTCACATAAATATTGTTATAAAAATCACTTTTTTAAAATCATTTGTAGCACCACATTGCACTTACACTTTTGACAACTCGAAATGACGGATTGAAAGAAAAAGCGTTTAATACAGCAAACTGATATAATCGTTTTAATTTATTGAACTTTGTTGTCTGTTCTAAACGAAAAGGTGTACAACACGCTAATGAGCTAGTTATGAAATTTTGGCGTTGTTTACGCTTCTCTAATTAGAAAACTCGACATATCAAAGATGTTTCCTTACTTCCTCGCCGACCATAGTATTACAAAGTCACCTGTGAAATAAGTGATTAAATTTCCTTGCTACCTTGGGACACAAATTTTCCCTCGGTTTCGGGGAAATTTAATCACTAATTTCCTTCATTCCATGGTATTACTAAATTATTAAATAACACAGGTAGCTAAAGCACTGGACCAGTCAAGTTCAATGAGAGAAAACGAAAAGTTCAATAAAAATGGTAGAACTGAATTAAATTTCCTCTACTTTAATTTATTAGGTTGGAGACAAATGCACAAAAAACGCAAGCTTGCCAACATAGCTTCAAATTCAACCATTTATTTGCATAAATAATATATTATAGTAGGGGAAATTTTATTATAAAATTAGCTCAGAAACTTTTCAGGGGTGTTGAGAAAAATAAGAAGAAGGCTATGTTCTAGTTTGAAATAATTTTATTCAGTGTTTCCACTTTTTTGAACTTCTTTTATCTCTGCCAAGTCCATCGCTTGGGCTACCTGTKATAAATAATGGAAAAGAAGAAAAAAAGCCTTTGACCTTGGGATGTTGTGGTAGGGGTGAGGAGATCTCGTCATTAAGACAGGGATACCAGATGGCTTTATGAACGAAGCATGTATGGATTATTTGATGGATGGTTTGTTGTGRCGTCAACSWWTTGAATTCCTCATATACRARTGGAGTTTATCTTATACCAATGGATCGATTGGTATCTATTCGTGACCTCGCGATGTTGTGGTAGGGGTGAGGAGATACCAATATATACCAATGGTTCGAATCGTCATTAAAACAGGGATCCCATATGAACAGATTTTGACTCCARATGACTTCTTGAAGTCAGAATKAATCTATTATTGACCACCAATAGAGACGAATGGAGTTAGACTATTTACCATTCGAGTCTATTGGTCTATATTGGCCATRAATGTTAGTTTTACCATTCAAGTGAAGCCCAAATGTTACATATGTAAATATGTATGCACACCATTACTTTTTTGGAGATTCCTCTGACTAGCGTTGGTCAATGTACAAAAAAAATTTGATAAGTTTTTTTCTTTAAACATTGCATGAAAAATCATTAAATTAGTCAGACATGGTACCGTGTTATTCTATATGTATCTGTTGTTAACATGACCTTTTAAGTCAAATTTATTTAAATCTCACAGAACTTTGCATATTTTGAATAAACTAAACACTCTTGGAGGATGAAGTTGGGCTAGCTTTTTTGGAAAATTAAGAAAGATAAGATATTACATGGAAGTGCAGATACATTAGGAGTAAAATACATTAGGAGAAACCACATGGGCTCTTTGAGCGCCTTTAATCTACTTCTGATATAAAGTGACAGCAAGAATATGTTACTTTCGGCAGTTTTTTATCAATGAATTAATATGCAGTTTAAAATTCTAATTGTTTATTTACGCGCTGAGATATTCTTTTCTGATGGCTTGGCCCAACAACATAAGCATATTGTAAGAACCAAAACTCAAAGCTTCAAAGACACAACGCRTGTATCATAGCCACCTTGCATTATTTGAATACTATATTATTTTTATTCAATAGAGGAGATATGCAGTTTTTCAAGGAACTAACATCCAGTGTAGAAGCAGAAGGTAGGTACAGTATGACCATTTTTTTCCAAATTCACATTTTCTCAAGCGATGTAATTCTCATGCAATACTGAAGCAAATGGTGTAAACAACTTATAAAAGCCAACAGTAATAAACATGAATTTATAGCTGAGCTCCCGCACAGGCACCATAACTAAGAACTAGAGCTTGTATTCAWGGTTTACTGTGCTCATTAGTTCGGGTGTGGTGTTTTATTGGAGAGGAATGCAATTTTGTCAGTGACGGTGATTTTGAAGTCTAGTTAAAGACAATGAATCGACAAGTATGTGTTCAAATCAGATCAAAACAATCTAAAATTGATATTAATTGCTTGCTTATGAAACGACTTTCCATTCCAACATCAATCTCAAGTAATTCTTCACATAAGGTATAGCTTTTGCATTTTTTTATGTTTAACTTCTTGTATATAGAAATATCGCATTTACAAATAGAAGAAGGCACCTTATTGCATGTATGAAAGAAATGCTTATAAATGCATTGTAGAGAGTCACTTGTATAACCCCTTTTTRAACCCCTCACATAAAAAGGCCGGAAGAAGTCTTTGTCGAGAAATTCTGAAAATGGCCTGGGCGTTCTGACAAAATGTCCTCCCTAAGAGGGACGAACTAATAATGTATCTTCATAGTGTACTTTGCTGCATCAACCTTGGTGTTTAATAAAATAAAACCTAGCTTTCGACCTACGCGGTCATCTTCAGCATCTTACCAAGCAGGATGATAACATCTGGTTTACCATTGAAAGATATTCTGAAGCTGGGCTACCTTTCCTTGATACCCTTAACAAGGTATCAGAGAGAGGCTCTTTGCAGATTTCAATATATCGGAAGAAGACTCATACCGATAGGTATTTGAATTTTGACAGTCACCATCTGTCAACACACAAAGCTGCAGTTGTACGTACTCTTGTTCATCGTAAAGAAACTCTATTCGATAGTACTAAGCAGGAGGAGCTTGATCACCTTTTCAAGAGTTTTCAGCAGAATGGTTATCCATTAAATTTCATTAAACGTCACTCCACSATTCATAGATGTACGACAAAAGCCAATCAGGAGGCTGCTGAACAACCTAAAGGTTTTGCTATTCTACCTTTTGTCGAAGGCCCTACTCAGAAGATCAAAAGACTCCTGTCAAAGCATAACATCAAGTGTTGCATCAAAACTGAAAGGACTTTGAGGCAGTTGCTATCCAGACCAAAAGATYATGTGGATAAGRAYAAGCAGACCGGTGTGATATATTCCATTCCGTGCGGAGAGTGTAACATCAAGTACATAGGAGAAACCAGCAGAGAGCTAGGAACAAGAAGAAAGGAACACCAGGCTGATGTACGATTGGCAAAAACTGAAAACTCAGCATTAGTTCAGCATGCCACCTCTACAGGACATGCAATCGATTGGCAAGGACCGGAGATTCTTGGAAAAGAGGCTAGATGGCATCAGAGGAAGTGGGAAGAGGCATGTCACATCGCCAGAAGGAAGAACGTTTTATTTAATAGAGACAGTGGTAGAACTATACTAGTTACCTAAAATGCTAGGCGATTGATTTATTGCGCGCGCTTTTATAACATCATGACTTATGCACGCGCTCTTTGTTTTGATGGTGAAGTTTTTATGTTATTGTAACAAGATTCATTGTAACCCTGAAGATGACCGCGTAGGTCGAAAGCTAGGTTTTATTTTATTTTAAGGTTGATGCAKCAAAGTACACTATGAAGATAAATCCAACCTACAATCATATTTTCATATTAATAATGTAWCATTTTAGTGCTGCATGTTTCTTGATTTTACTCTCATTGCAACACTAAAATAAAACATCCTCGACAATAGACAAACCACAGGTAGCCCAAGCACTTGTCGGCTTTTCTCTGAAGGTCTTGTGAGGAAAAACGAAAAATTCAATAAAAGTAGGAAATCTTCACAAAATGAATTGAAACTCACACAATATGTTGTTCTTAATTTATTACACATCTATGCCGTTTTATATCCCAACATTATATTTTCACACGCATCCATTGGTCCAAAGGCGTCACATGGTACATTTTCGGCGGACGGGTATCAGACGATATCCCCCGTCCGAAGGTGATATTTGTCCGCGTAAGTTTTCAGATTTGTTTTTGACWCAAAAAAAGCTATGGAAAGTGATCAAAACCGCTTTTTAAACAGCTCTGATGATGTGAATAAAAAACTTGTTGACAAAACGACATCTGGAAATACAAATAMGTCGATTAAGTACGCTGTGAATGTATTTTGAGTTGAGAAAATTACTAGACACTAAAATGCTAGTCTCCTCGCAGCCGTGTTTAGTTTCGGTCACGCGTAACGCAACCTCTCCACAACCTCTCTTTTGGTGTTTGGCCAGGGCAAAGTGATTTTAATCCGGTTAATGAATAACGTTCCTGGCGAGACAGCAGTGGCTGGTACAACAAGGACAGCGGTAATAAATTCAGCAACAACCCCTTGAGTAACGATCATTTGGATGAATTTTGTAAAATCAAGTGCTTTTCAGTGTCTAAGAGGACATTTCAGTGTATATTTCAGATAAGTAAAACTTTACAATTTATTATCGACTATCTTATGTTGGATAAATTAAGCAATTTTTGGATCTTATATGTCATAATTTCAGTTCTAGCGCCC